TATATATATATATATATATATATATATATATATATATATATATATATATATATATATATATTATATATATATATATATATATATGCACTGCATTCTTAACTTGTCATTCACCACAGTGTAGGCATATTATTATCTCTAACAATTTCAAGTATATTAAACCAAAGTGATGTTGATTCAAGATTTTTGTATAAGGTTTATTTTATGAAAATATTTATTTTGTATTGATGCGTCTAATTCTAATTGCATTTCACAGCTACCACTGTTTTTAGATTTTTCGAATCTATTAACAAACGAACTTCACCAAATGCACCTTGAAAGTAGCTTGAAAATTTTAAGATATTTCAAAATATCCAAAGTTTGGAATTTTTCACAAATGAAACTACTCAAAGGTTGAAAAGTGTTCAAAATTTTTTATTATTTTATGATCTGCGGATTTTTTTATTTTTATGATTTACAGTTCCCATCACTGACGATAACAATGAATTCTTTCTTGGGAGCAGTTCTTGAACAGCATCGCACATTTTCTGTTATTGATTTGGATCACTTAGATAGTCTATCAGACGATAATATTCGAATGACGGTGGCACAGATTGATAGCTTTTTGACATCCATTCAGTCCTTCTATGAGGTATATTTCTACCATTATAAAAATAAATGAATAAAAAAATACATTTAATTCTTATTTAAATTAGTAACTATACATTCCTTTGCATTTCCTTTTTTTTCAGAAAACATTCTCTGAATACAGTGCTTTTACGGATATCATTTTCCCATTTTTTATGTTTTTGAATGCTTTGGTGGCAGCGGTTTCGTACAAGCGCTTTCATATGACTCAGTTAATGAATTTACGCAATTTGATTACTACCTACAACTTCCCAGCCAAATTTTCGGTAAATTTTGATTCAGTGATTTTGGAAAGTGAAATGATATTTCGGAGAGTAGTCATTGAACGAAACTTGGATATGATAGGAATAGTATTGACGAAGTTCAGTATAAATTAATTTTGTTTATTAATATAAACCGTATAGGAATATTCCTTTTTTTAATCACCATAAAATAACTAAATATAAACATCATGGCCAAGGCGTAAACATAAAGATAAAGAGATCATGTTTAAGTAAAATATTATATATATATATATATATATATATATATAT